TTGAATAGCGAACAGATCATCCTGTATCACCTCGCACATCAAGTTGTTGCTAAAGCTATTTTTGTTGATCGCACCGATTGACGCGTCGAGGCTCGCTCTAAGCTTAATAGTACTGCTTCATAATTTAAGAACCTCGTGACGTGGAAGGTAACAAAACATTCCATCGTTTAAATCGGAGTTATCTACAGGCTCCAAGCGGTCTACTTTGATGTATTCCGTAATAAAATCCGAATATCGTTCCTTAAATTCCGAGTGTTTTCTAAATTTATTTTCAAGTTATTTGAAACGTTTTACAGTCCCTTGTTGTGAATTACTCAAATCGGGTGGCCTATTCTTAAAAGGAAGTCGCACTATTAACCGCCCTTGCGAATCACGCTTTACGGTGTTCAAAGATTGCGTTTCGCATTGTCGTTCTTCCGGTGAAAGTTTATCAACAACATCTTCAATATATAGAAATTTGTTTACCTACTCTTGTAAATCGGAACGGAGGTTGCTCCGGCGGTAAATGGGTCTGCCCAATGTATATTAATGGTACAAATAATTAGATTAATTAGACGTCAATCCATAGATCGATCGATATTTGCTGAATCTATGGAATTAACCGGGATATTTTCTGTTATTTTATCTAGTACTAAGCATCTTACTGTTCTGCGAATACTGATTATGTTTTGATTTTACTGAGACTTGTGTTGACTGGTTAATACTTCCAATTTACATTTCTAATTTTTGGCGTGTAAGACCAAGATTTTTATAGATATCGAACATTCAGAAGTGATTCATGAAACCGGAATTAAGAAAGTGCGGCATCCTGATACTGATACTGACACTTTTTATCCCTTATTAGAATTATTGCGGTTGAAAGAATACCAATCGTCCCATGACTTTTTAAACAATTTTTACACAAGCGCAAAGTAACGCGAAATCAAAAGTCGAATCGTAGATTGCAGAGTAATTTATTTTGATCTCACACAAATATAAAAATGCCGGCTTCGGAGGCGTACCGGTGTCGAGGCGGCCTAGTCGACGGGTTAGATGTGAATCGATACAAAAATGGTTCGAAGTACTCTAATACGGGTGGGGTAGAGTGGACGATTTGTATACGCCCAAACCCTTGTTCAGATAGACTGAACAGTCCCCCCGTTGAAGTACGAACTTCAAAATACAATGTAACTATGAAATAATACATTCATAATAATAATGCATTACAATAAGGATATAATATATTTACAATGTAACCCGGTCTAGGCAGACCGGTGTGGGTCCCAACAATATTGATGTGAGGATAAATAAAATGATTGCTATTACCTTTTTGGGTGGCGGCGTCGACACCAGGTCACGTAATTCACTATTGATGTTCGCGAACCGTGAAGAGGGGTTGTCAAAAAAAGAGGAAGAAAACTACAGAGTAGTTTCGACCAGCCTCCTTTATTACTCGCACACGTTAAGAAAATTATTAAGCAAAACACAAAAAAAGACAACCTTAAGTACATGAACACTTAAACTGAATTGAAATTAGAAGCCGAAAACTTAACACAAGTCTACAAAGAAAAATTAGTAAGATCAACCCGCAGGAGAATTTCCCGACCGACCACTTCAGAACCGAAACAGTAACTAAATTTTCTGACAAAATTTTGAAGCCAAGTCGTACCTTCCTATTTAGAGGGGGTACTTCTTAGCCAACCACCTCCTTTCGGGGGTGGTTTCGCGCCGGGGGCTTTTTCCCACAGCTTTGACCTAAAAAGCGAGCAAGGACTTTGAGCGGGTGGTCTGTCGGCAAATTCGTCCAATTCATAGAAATATCCTTCCCGTACAATCGGCTTACAACAACAAACATAAGTTACAGAGGTACTCTTCGCCCATTGTAAACGGTGAGAATTTCCTATCTCGAACCCTAATAAAAATTACCCCACTTCGGAATTTACTGGCCGATTTCTTCGGCCCATGCTCGAGGCGGCAATACAAAACACGCTTCTACAAATGCGGAAGCGAGACTGTCCGGCCGAAACTAAAGCTCTTTTCTCAAAAAACCCTATTACTATTCACAATTATCAAACCTACAATCAAGGAAAACGATCTATCTCTACGAATAAGTTCCGCGTCAAAGACTGACATATCTGGTGCTTAATGGCTTCGATCAAGAACGTTTCAATTTAATACCCCTAAACGATGGGTTTTCACGTTATTGCTGGGGCCCATTGTATAGAGTGCATCAAACCGAAAACGTGCTCGGTCTATGGGGATTTTTGGGAACTTGGGTACGGATGGATATTGCGTGGTAATTTAGGAATTCTGGCTAGTAAGATGGGACGGCGTAATAAACCATTATTCAACAGAAATGACATCTCCGTTTTCTGGAAAAGTTCACATCAGAAAAATGCGTCGGCTGCAAGTGTTACATCACCCCTTCCATAAGACGAAACAATTTTTTCCCGATTATTCGAATAAATTGATGAGTTTCCTTTACAATAACCTAATATTTACAAAACTCAGGGTCTCCTTGAGATTGTAAACAAGCGCGTTTCCTTGTAAAACAGTTCGTTCACACATTCCTCTGAGTCTATCGGCTTAGCGCTAACTCTGTCACTTCACAACAACGTCACTTTGCACAGATGTCCATTTTCATGAAGTCCAACTCTCCTGCTACACTATTGAGTAGGTGTAGCCAGTCTGGGATAAGCGAGTCGTCCAGACTCCAGGTTCAGCAATTGCATCCATGCTGTTCCGTCCGGTGGTCTCAGTGCGATCGAGACAGTCCGGGCGAGTTCCGGGGGGGACTACGGAGAGTGGCAGGTGGATCCGGGGCAGTTACGGGCTAGTCTGGGTAGACTCCGGTTGAATCCGGATAGAATCCGGTAGAGTCCGGGCAGTCCGGGTGGTTCCGAGGGCGACGTCCAGCGATTCCGGGATGGCTTCCAGCTATCCTGGCCTGATGTCGAGCGACTCCGGGCGATCCAATGGCGGGTGGTGCTGTGACAGGATAAAACGCGAGTATCCGTACTTTACGAATTTCGACACTCTCACTTTTCCACCCCGCTCTACGGCGAGGAATTCCCTCTCGGTTCCAAACTTCCCGTCCTAGGCCTGCGATTTATTCTGGACACGGCACTCTTCCATGGAAACACTGTCTTCGGGCTTCCTTAGTGCTACGGGGGAGAAATGACAAGAGAAAAAAAAATAAATTGATTGGGGCTTCGGCATCTGCAAAAAGACTAATTAGTAAATTTTCACAACATTTATATACGACTCCTGCTAATCCATGGTTGGTCATCTACTGGTCCTTGACTTCGTGTATGTCTTCATCCAGCGGAGCTGGTAGATGATTTCGTACCTGAAACGCGTTCTACTGGGGGCTCATGCACCTCGACTACTACCTCCATACTTGCATTAGCTGGTTTATCATGCACTACGGGAGTGTTACTAGTTACTACGGGTTCCGGGATTTCTATGGATTTTGCAGGATCTGCTGGTTCAGGGGTTACAGGGATTCCCGTCACCTGCGGTGGTGTTCTGTTATTAGTGATATCGTCAGTGATGGGGGACTTGCAGGGCTCGCAAACAGGGGGCTGTGTGACTGGGGATGGCAAAACAGGGATGTCGTCTAGCATGCGTCTACGATTACGTGCTTCCTTAACTTTTGCGGGGATATTGGCTAATTGGTCAGACACTTCTTCAGTCGCAAGGCACAACTTGAGTCGATTGACGTGGACCGTTTCTTCCTTTTTCCCGTGGATCTCGCGAATCCCGTTATCGTAATTTTTGAAAACTATCCCGTTCTCGTAATTTGTTGAAAATTATCCCACACTTGCAATTTGTTTGAACTATCCCATTATCGTAATTTGTTGAAATCATCCCACTTCTGACACCATTTAATTTGCAACCCGGTCTAGCCAGACCGGTGTGGGTCCCAACAATATTGATGTGAGGATAAATAAAATGATTGCTCTTAACTTTTTGGGTGGCGGCGTCGACACCAGGTCACATAATTCACTATTGATGTTCGCGAACCGCGAAGAGGGGTTGTCAAAAAAAAAGGAAGAAAACAACAGAGTAGTTTCGACCAGCCTCCTTTATTAATCGCACACGTTAAGAAAATTATTAAGCAACACACAAAAAAAAAGACAACCTTAACTACATGAACACTTAAACTGAATTTAAATTAGAAGCCGAAAACTTAACACAAGTCTACAAAGAAAAATTAGTAAGATCAACCCGCAGGAGAATTTCCCGACCGACCACTTCAGAACCGAAACAGTAACTAAATTTTCTGACAAAATTTTGAAGCCAGGTCGTACCTTCCTGATTAGAGGGGGAACTTCTTAGCCAACCACCTCCTTTCGGGGCTGGTTTCGCGCCGGGGGCTTTTTCCCACAGCTTTGACCTAAAAAGCGAGCAACGACTTTGAGCGGGTAGTCTGTCGGCAAATTCGTCCAATTCATAGAAATATCCTTCCCGTACAATCGGCTTACAACAACAAACATAAGTTCGGAATTTGCTGGCCGATTTCTTCGGCCCATGCAATACAAAACACGCCTCTACAAATGCGGAAGCGAGACAATCTGTCCGGCCGAAACTAAAGCTCTTTTTTCAAAAAACCCTATTACTATTCACAATTATCAAACCTACAATCAAGGAAAACGATCTATCTCTACGAATAAGTTCCGCGTCAAAGACTGACATATCTGGTGCTTAATGGCTTCGATCAAGAGCGTTTCAATTTAATACCTCTAAACGATGGGTTTCCATGTTATTGCTGGGGCCCATTGTATAGAGTGCATCAAACCGAAAACGTGCTCGGTCTATGGGGATTTTTGGGAACTTGGGTACGGATGGATATTGCGGGGTAATTTAGGAATTCCGGGTAGTAAGATGGGACGGCGTAATAAACCATTATTCAACAGAAATGACATCTCCGTTTTCTGGAAAAGTTGCCATCAGAAAAATGCGTCGGCTGCCTCTAATGAACGCGATGGTTTGCAAGTGTTACAACAATAATGAGTGGTTCAACTTAGCAAAGGACATAGTTTATGCACTGATCGTTGAATGATATCGTTTTTGGTTCGCACTGACACCGTTCGCACCCTGCTATCACGCCCTGGATGTGTGATTTCGATGCGACCTAAAGTCCAACATAGTGGAGGTACATGGTCACCGTGGATGATAACGATGTCACCCACGGCAGCTGGCCGCGTTGACGTAGCCCATTTGGAACGCTGCTGTAACTCCAGGAGGTACTCTCGGGACCACCTCTTCCAAAAATGATGGCGCAGTTGCTGGGTCTTTTGCCACTGATCCAGCCGATGAATGTTGACGGTACTCAGGTCATGTTCAGCTGGAGCTGTTAAAGCAGATCCGATTAAAAAATGACCTGGCGTTAACGCCGTTAAATCGTCAGGACTCGAGGATAATGGGGTTAATAGGACGGGAATTCAGGCAAGCCTCTATCAACGTGAGATAAGTGTACATCTCTTCATAGGTGAACAATGATTGACCGACAACTCTCGTCAGATGAAATTTCATAGACTTTATACCAGCCTCCCAAATGCCACCGACATGTGGCGATCGAGGAGGTATGAAACGCAATTCAATATTGTCCCCCGCACAATCTCCGATCAATTTTCGAAAAGACTCTGATTTTATGATGTCCTGATGGATGAAACGCAATTCCCGATTGCTACCCTTAAACGTTGTTGCGTTGTCTGAATAAATGGTCGACAGTTTACCTCTGCGAGATATAAACCTCTTAAAGGCCCCTATGAACGCTGACGAGGTGCAATCAGTGACCAATTCCAGGTGAATCGCCTTAGCAGCTAGGCAAATAAACAGACAAACGTACACCTTAATGGACCTCTTTCCGCGACCCCTTCCCTCTCTAATTAAAATGGGCTCTGCATAATCAACACCGCAGGTAAGAAAGGGACGCACAAGATTAACCCTTACTGCCCATTCACAATGGACATAAGGCATAACAAGTACATAAAGCTTACATAAATACATAAAGTTGAAACGATGGAAAACGTGTACCCCTGTTCACAGTGGACGAACGTAATTCTTATGCTTATGAACGTTTTATGTAATCCTTCTGTGCGTACACAAAGTTGAAATAAGTTCAACTTTGTGCACGAATTATGTCAAAATTATGTTAAAATCTAGGGACTTTTGAATGCTGCTATTGAATTCCCTTTGACAGTTGGCACTTGGCATTTCACACCTTCGATTATATTATATATATTATAATCAAATCTTCACATTGCGAGTCTGTTCTGTACTGCGAGTTCTCAAGTTTGAATATTGTAGGTTAGATATTTTGATTGATTCAGTTTGAGGTTAGCCGTTTCTAAGTTTATCCGGGAGTTATTCCGTTCTGCGTTTGCGCAGTTTAACAATTCTTACAGAGTTCACTCTGTCCACTGTGAACGTAGATAAGCATAAGCCAGACACAGACTAAAAACGTAAATTATGTTATGCGCTTGTTCTTATGTCTTATGTCCATTGTGAATGGGCAGTAACTCTGCTAACAAAACTGCACCACATACAGTGGACGCCGCTTAATGTGATCACTTTGGGACTTCGGCAAATTGATCACACTAACCGACTGATAACAATAAGCGAAAACCACCATCAAAGACAGTAAAACTTGAAACAAAGCAAAATCATGGACAAGAGAGTGTTCATCATGCTGATAGATGAAGGTACATAAACATTAAAATTTATTTTTATTTTGGTTATCATTCTGAGAAGGGAATTCTTAATTCCCTTTGGTTATTTTAGAAGTTTGTTGAGAAAGGGCTGAGATTTTTTTTTTTTTCAAATAAGCTGAGATCTAGTCGTTTTGACGTGCTCATTTTCGCATAAGTACCACCCAAATTAAAAACAGAAAAAATTCGTTCATTCAAAAGACGAAAACGCACTGATTATAAAGTCTATCAGTGATTGTGGCTATACAAAGTGAGTACCATAAGCTAATGTACCTTTTGCGACCAATGAATGTTCATTAAAACACAATGCTAGTTTCAGTCGTCTCGCTTCTCCAAAAAAAGCAATTCCCACTTGTATAAAAATTGCGAGATTGATCACAATAAGCGAAATATTGATCACAATAAACGGAAAAACTGCAATGCATTGGTATTGCGTGGGCCCGTTCCAAGCCATTTTGATCACATTAAGCGGTTGATAACATTAACCGTGATCATACTAAGCGGCGTCTACTGTAATTCTAATCTGGGTAGTGTCTGAGTTTTCAATGGAGCTGTTCTAGATTTAGCCGTGAGTAATTGAACGTGAATTTCACCACGTTCTTTGTAAGACCCAATGTAAATACAAGCCCCGTAATTGGGAGGCGTCGCAAAACCCGTGTAATTGTATGTGAGCGGCGTTTTCAACCGGTATCACGCAGAGAGGAATTATTGTTTTATTTAAGTCAGCCAATGAATCTAAGAAACTATTCCACCGCTCTTCTAAATTTGCCGGTAACCTATCGTCCCAGTCTAACCTCAACGTCCACAATTGCTGAAGAATAACCTTGGCAGTAACCACAACTGGCGCAACTAAGCCTAAGGGATCAAACAGTTGCGCAATTGTTGATAATACACTCATCAACTGTATTAGCGCCGGTGATTAGATCATCCACGTACATGTTATTTATAATTTGATCGTATGCATTCGGAAAATTATGTTTTTCATCAAGCGATAGTTGATGCAACGTTCTGATAGCTAAAAATGGCGCTGACGCAACACCGAAAGTGACCGCTTTAAGCCTGTATGTCTCAATTGGTGCATTTTCTTCGAATCGCCATAAGAATCGTTGGTAATCGTGATGTTCCGGGTGTACCAGAATCTGTCTGTACATTTGTGAAATGTCTGCTGTGACCGCGATTTTATGTTGTCTAACCCGTAGCAAAATGGAATATAAACTCGATTGGATGTTCGGTCCAATCAGTAACACGTCATTTAAACTCTTATGGTTAGATGACTTTGCGGAAGCGTCAAAAACAACTCGTAATTTGGTAGTATTACTGCTTTCCTTTGTGACACCGTGATGGAGTAAATAAAAAGTCTGAGGGTTTTCAATTTGATCTTCAGGTAGCGCGAAATCAAAACTCGAGTCGTAGATTGCAGAGTAATTTATTTTGATCTCACACAAATATAGAAATACCGGCTTCGGAGGCGTACCGGTGTCGAGGCGGCCTCGTCGACGGGTTAGATGTGAATCGATACAAAAGTGGTTCGAAGTACCCTTATACGGGTGGGGTAGGGTGGACGATTTGTATACCCTTGTTCAGATAGACTGAACACGCAGCCTATCAACCGCCTTTATTAGTCTGTGATTGATATATTCAATTTCGTAAATTCCGTACAGTGACTTATACAGGGTCATTATAAAATACTGTAGTCAACTCACCTATGAAAAACAATTGAAATTTTTCTCGTGCCGCTAATCACCAAAATGATTTCAACTCTTTTGAAATGTCACGAACGTCGAAACAAATCTATCAAATGTGTCAAAAATTGACATGCCAGGTTTGCGATTTAATTTCATTTTAAATAGACACGAAAAGACGCCAGGCCAGAGCATTAAGGGTTGCAGTGTTATCGAGCATTTGTGAACGCCACTGCAATACATTTCAGTTTCAAAAATTGTAAATTGTCAGAAAAACGTTTAAGGGCTTTGTCATGAATTACACCTTGGAAAGTCGATTGGAGTTGAACAGAATAAATCATCTGGTCTGTTTTGCAAAGAAGCAATAATTTTTCAAATAATGAAATCCAAAAAGTGAGGTTAAGTTTGTCGAAACCAATGAACACGGTAATTATTTAAAAAATTACATTTTTATAGGTACCCTGAAGGTAAAAATTGTGAAAAATCACGTAATGGACAATGGCAGAGCAAGTCTTATCTCAGTTAACGAACACTATGAGTACCTAATGAGTTTTTGCAGTAAATAATTTTGCCAAAGTTGTGATCCCGCGAAAGTTCTGTTTGTTAATTGTAAGGAATCGTCAAAATATTGGTGCAGACATGGAGACACGGTTTGTGACCGGTGCTTTTCTCTTGAAAAAACACAACTGAAAGCCTTGATCTTCATCCCTACAATAGGTGAAAACTGCTATGTCCAAACATTACCTTCAGCTTTGCAGTTTCTAGATATCTGAAACATGCCAGATCTGCATAACAGGAATGTCAAAGAGGTTCTACCCAAAACACGCCCACATGGCCATCCTAATATCAAGATTTTTCAAAATTTCTATAACAAAAAAGATGAAAAAACCAATAAAATTTCAGGAGCATAGCGTTAAGAGTTCTGTAGATGATTATGAGATCTCTTGAAACAACAGAATGTTTAATAAAGATTTTTAACTTTCCTAATAGTAAAATTACAATTATTACTAAACAGTAAGTTGAAGTAAGTTTTAAATTAAGAGAATGCAACTAACACCGAAAGAAAAATGAAAGTTACTGAAAATAAAAAACTTTATTGCAGTACCTACATACACTTTCTACATCTAATTTTGTTTATTGATCACATTCATTTACTTGAAAAAGTATCAGGCCTATGAATCGTCGTCTGGAAACAGCTAACCACACACCAACCTTCATTGCGTGTGATGGTGTTTCTTCAAAAGCGTGAGTATTTTCTATACACCAAATTCTGAAGTTCTGTCAGTTGACATAATAGCCTAACAGATGAAACCAGGCTTCATCAGAAAAGAACGACAAATCGAGAATCCCGTTATCGTCCATATCAGCTTGAAACCAACTGCAATACCCAACACGGCAAGGAAAATCAGCTGGTTGCAGCTCCTGAACCAACAAAATCTTGTATGGACGCATATGTAACTTCTCTTTTACGATTTTCTGACATGGGCTGTATGGTACTCCAGACAGTAAAGATTTTTGACAAAGCTTTATTCGGACTTTGTTCCATTCTCATCCTTAAATCTTCAACAACGTCTTCACTAACTTGAGGTCTCCCCGTCGGTTTTCACTTAGAAACGCTACCAGTGTTGTTAAATCTGGCCACAATTCGCCGCTAAAGCGTCTTCAAAGATTCTTCATCAATGACAACAGAACATTTCACTAGATACTCGTTTTTAGACGCCTCCACAGAGTACACTCCATCCCCATCCTCATTTAACACCCCATTACGGTAATAGGCATGATGATTGCGCCAAAGAACTAAAAAAATCATTTGTAACACTGACCATAGTTATTCCCCTCTGTTCATTACCTGAGATTATTCCACAATGATCTGTAGTTTTGATAAAAACTGTTTTTTGAGACACTTATTAAAGTTCTAACAAAGGGGAAGACAGCAAAAATGAAAAACAAGACAAGTCAATTAACGCACAAAGTGAGGGAAAACGTACCAGTACAAACGAAAAAATTATTGACATCTGACAGAATTTGATGAAGCGTTGAAACAGTGCAGCCGCTAATGTCAACTAATGTGGCGCTAAAAATAAAAATTCCAATATTAGTGTAATCCTTTCCACAAAACTGAAAAAGGCGGCACAAAATGTCACCAAAATCATGGCCTTCTTCGACTACAATATTTTATAATGACCCTGTATAATGATCCGCTCGTCTGCATTGGTTACACGAATTTAATATCTCTGACCTTGATTTTCTTTTGATGAGCGTAGCATCGCAGATTTATCCCGGATGAGCGGCTTCTTGAAAATATCAGCCAGTTGTTCCGTTGTCGTTGTGGTTCACATCAATCTCTCCCGTTGATAGACGTCACGTGTATAGTGGAATTTTGCGTGAATATGCTTAGTGCGTTGATGGTGAACAAGGTGTCGCACCAAGTGTTCAGCGGCCGCATTATCCATGTACAGAGTCGTCGGGTGTTGTACCACGCCCTTGTCAGCTAAAAGGCCGCGAATATAAATAATTTTCTTCGTCGCTATGTACGGTGCTACATACTGCGCATTCGTCGTTGAATCAGCCACAATAGGTTGCTTCCTTTACATCCAGCTGATTGGTCCACCGTTAAGCATCAAGACGACGCCACTGATCGATTTTCGATTTTCATCCAACGCGTAATCCGCCTCCGAGTATTCAGCGAGTTGATTCACATTCTCACCATGGTCCCCAAACGTAATTCCAGTGTCCATAGTTTCACGCAAGTACCGGAACATTCGTTTTACAGCATGCCAGTGTATTTCAAATGGATGCTTCCTTCAAATGTTGGCTTAACTGGTTCACCGAAAACGCCAGGTCCGGACGCATAGCCACGGCCAATTACATTAGCGAACTGATCGCTTGTTGATAAGATGCACCGGTGCTACTTTCATATGAATTACGTTTCAGCACAGCACCGGGGTCTGCTGGTATTGACCGGGGTTTGCATGTGCTCATATTGAATTTTTCGAGCACATTACGCACGTATGCGGTTTCCGTTAAACGTAGAGTTTTTGTCCCACGATCGCGCAATATTTGCATGCTTAAATAGCAGTATGCCACATATACAGGGTGTCTCAGAAATAAGTACATTAATTTTAACCAGTAACAGAACTCGTGAAACGGAACAACTTTTTTATCTACCATTTTTTCGAAAACTCAAGTCGAATTTCGAATTTTCCCACCCATATATTCACGAGCCGTCTATGTTCACCTTAAATAATAATTTAAATAATAACAACACTACAACAATGAAGAAGGTACCCCAGCAACCGTTTTGACACTGACAATCATTTTTATGTCAAGTGTATGTTATTAAACGTTGTCTCTTTAAAGTTTGTTTGGCACAGGTTTCTAATTTATAGACGAAATGTGTTGAAATGGCTTTGTTTTCAAATTTGGAATGCACCCATATCGTTTTAACGTACGGTGAAGCTCGGGGAAACGACACTCGCGCCCAAAGAATTTTTTCAGAAAGCCTCCCAAATCGTCTGCCAAATATGCGCACTTTTAAGAACGTTGCAGCATCTTCGAGAGTGCGGATCTTTTAAAGTTGCACCTCAGGATCAGGGTAAGTTACGTAGTAATATGTAGAATTGCTAATATTGAAGAGGCTGTTTTGAAGAGTGTCGAAGCTCGACCGAGCACTAGCACGCATCACTGTCTAGTGTGATGTATCGGAGAGTATTATTTGGAGGATACTCAGAGAACAAATGTACCCCTTTCAGAACCAGAAAATTCAGTTATT